TCCCATCCCCAGGGAGTGAATAAGGAGAACGTGGCATAGCTACCCGAGGTGGACAGGGGTTCGGAGCGGTGGAGTTCGAACTGAGAAACTAAGCTCAAATACCGATGCCTAAATGCTACCGTAAAGTCACTAGTCAAGGACTCACTTATTGCTGCACTCCACATTGTCACTACCACTCCTTTCAGATACCTTAGAGCTACAGATAATTTCAAATTGGGAAATACGTTTTTAATTGTCAAATGGGTAGTGCTACCTCAAGGGTAGAATGTTCTTGGTACAATCACATGCTCAAGGGTATTTGGTGATAAATTTGAAATATCAGTTACTTATCGATTATCTCTCCTCCTGCCATTTATTTATACATTTTCCTCCAAGGGTTTGTGGGCGTGACCCTAGTTATTTATTGACAGGAAGACACATGAGCGAGGGCGGTAACTGGAGGTGGATTCGTAAGCCGTCACCCGACAATAAATTCTGAAGTGACCGACTTTTTAATGTTACTCCTCTCCTGACTCACTTCTTTCACTTTCTGAAGTAACATTTCGATCTGCCCTACAAAACGCCTGATTGCATCTTTCAGTTCACTGTTTTCATTCATAACCTTACTTCTACCCTACCTCTCATACTATCCTTCGGCAATTCCTGTCAAAACCATCACAGAAATCGCCATAGCTCGGTTTCCCTTTCTTGCTGCCAGAGTCATCACCGTCAGAATATAATTGCAATTTTCTCCGCGTCGTCTGTGGGACGGACAATGGCAATTAGGAGCAAGCTTTTAATTCTGAGAAGGTGTTCGGTTTCAGAACAGGTAAATGAAAACACATTCGATGACAGCGCGTACATTATACAGCTTCTACCTAGACAACACGCGAAAATAGCTGAATACGACCATCGGGGTATGTTAATATACTCGTAACTTGTTTACCTCGCGGTGCTGTGATTAAAAGGGGTAAGATTTCTTCCATCTGTCTGGTATTAAAGTATGTATAGGGGTCTACCGCCACTTCAGTGTCAATGCCTTTGTAACAACTAAGACAAGAAGTTTGCTTCGTATTCAGGTGGTACCACATTCAAAATCTCAGCCAGGATACCGTCTACACTGACAGAGGTTCTTAGAAGTCTTTCAGTCCCTCTAGACAAATTCCGGGATACTATTTTAAATCAGGCCACGATCGTTTCCATTTCCTTCCAAATTCACTGTTCATAAATAATCGTTATCCGACGAAATGACCTGAGCTCTTGACAGCGTTAAAATTAAAGTTAAGTTAACCGTTAAATAAATCACATATGCAAATAAGCGAGTAAGTAAAATATGGCAATCATGCGGATAAACAGAAATGTCTGTCAGATTTCTCGCTGAGGTCCGACAAGGATGTTACTAGCAGACGTTAAAAGTGTTATAAAATAATAGGACTGATTAGGAGCAATGGAAGAAGAAATAGTAGTAGTAGTTCTGACGGTGGTGGTGATTCCACTACAACGAACACATGATAGTAGTCTGAATGCATGTCCCAATGTTGAGTGTTTGTTTTCGTTATGGTAAGTGCACTGTGATCCCCGGGGAGAGACGCAGACTCAACCGAGAGCCTCTTTCACCTGCAAGATCCTCTGTTGACGCAAACTGCTCTTGCAACAACTCCTTTTCTACACTTCTTTCTTTGTTTGGCTTATAAAATTTACACACTTTGAAATTTTTCTTCAAGTTATTTCACTAGAGCCCTAGTCTAGTAATGCCGTTTGCTTTTATAGAAAATATTTGAATAAGTAAGACTGTATTTAGCTTAACGTCCATTCCCCATTCTCATGTAAAGAATAATGGAAGCTGTAATTGAGAATGTTACTGTCTCCATATTTCTGGACTCACTGAGCGCATTGTATGCATCTCTTGATGAGTAGGAAATGACGGAAGAAAACACTATGACAACAGATTGCCTTACTCTTCTGTTGAAGCGTTCTTCTTCAGAAGCTAACAATCGGTCAGCTCTTCAACAGATTCCCTGACGGAATCAAAGAGACCCCTAAGAAAAGAAGCAGGTCTCATGGCTACATGTTTAGGCCTTCTCAGTACAGTTAAACGGATCAGGCGCGAATGCCCTTCTTAAGCAACATTTTGATGTTAATATCTTTCTATAATAATTCTCTTTTCGCTTCTGATATCTGACTTGCAACTGTTCGATTTCAACTCAGCATCCCAAGTAACTCATTTGAAATATAAGAGGTTTATAAATTTCGTTCCTACAGACGCATAATTTAGTTGAATGTAGAATGAACTTTTGCTGCCTGTACGGTGAAAAATATTGAACAAAGAAGCTACTTGGGAAGCAGTAGAGACGTTGCTTGTCAGAGGCTTGATCGTGTACTGAACATTTCAAAGAAAACCGAGGCTCACGCCCAATAATTTTACGCGCCTTCTTGTTCTTAGAATATATCACCCTCGAACACAATTCTCTCACGTTACCACGACTTGCCCATCTTCTATCCACGACTCTAACCGTCTTATTTCATTTCCGAATTCTTTCTCCTGTGTTTTATTCGTATCCCTGGTGCGTCTCACGTCTTTATTCCCTTTACGTCACAAAATTTGTCGTCTGTTCACTTCAGAGATGATTTTTGCCCCTCTTCTGGACTGCTGCGTTGATGTGCTCCCTTTTTTTAATTCTTCCTTCTTTCCAATGCCTTATCAACACACGTGTATCAGTGGCGGCTTATAAAATGAGACATCCCGACAAATCTGCACACCTATCAAAAATCACAGAGGTCGGATTTTCCGATGTATTAAATAACTGACAGAATCTTCCATGGTTGAGACTGAGAAGGAAGATTGTGTGAGATACAGAAGCGAAAGCTTGTAATTGCTATCCAGAAAACTATTAACTGTAGTTACGTTTCATTCGTGAGTTCACACTGATAATGATAAATTTATTATAAGAAAATTTTGAAGAAACGTATAAAACGCATGTTAATATCACATGTAACAAAACTACTCTTTCTTAAAACGGTTTTTAAAATTAAATATACTCAACTAATTAAATTACTTAGACCTGTTTTTTCTTTGTTTTACGTATCCTTATTAAACTATTTATTGTGACTTTTTTTAACTACGTACATAACTCATAAAATCGCTATAAGCATGTATAATAAACTTTATAAATAACGGAGCGCATTATCTGCACATTGAATTGACACCTGCATGACTAGTAGTGATAATTCACGGTAAGATAATGCATCTGAATTATTGGTATTACAATTAGAGGCTAAAAAGTTAAGGGTATAACGTTATAAGCCTTTTGTAATATTTACAGTTGTGACACCGCAAATTGATAAATTCTGAAAATACTAAATAATTACTGTAAGCATTAAACTGCGTACAGTCTACCTGTCAAAATCACACAGAAGAAACGAGGCAGAAGAAATTTAGAAAGCACATGAAACTTTGTCGAATAGTGAAATAATGTGTCGTTATAAATCACGAGGATTATAAAACTTTCTGGAAATAAATTGTTATGCCTTTCACAGTTGTTCCCACTAGCCTTTTTTCACATCTATAAAACATTATTGCATTACTACGTACTTAATAACACAGATTCAAATTTTATTATGCTCCTTATGGTTTGATTTATACAGAGTACAGGAATAAGTTCCTAAATATACAGTGTGTCCACAAAGTCTCTTCGGGGTTTTGAAAAATTGTGGCGCGCAAACAAATTGAGCTAGCCACATGCGGTTTGCGGCAGATTGCAGTGAAACTCTGGACGTTTTTTACTGACCTCAGTAGACCTCGATGTGGGCTCCCTTGGTAGCACGGAGAACGTCCAGACGATATTCGAGCTCTTGCCATGTTCTGTGGAGCATGTCCGCTGGAATAGCCGAGATCGCATTCCTGATACGGGTCTTCAGGTCATCAAGTCCGTTAACTGGAGTTAGGAACACATTGCTCTTGACATAACCCCACAGGAAAAATCCAGTGGTGTTATGTCTGGTGAAAGTATTGCATTGTCACTCGGAGGTTGCTTATTGAACTGTGTGCGGTAATTTCGTTGAGTCTGGGTGACTGATTTTGTCTCAAAAAGCCATTCCACATAACGCTCGCGTTCCTACACAGTCGCCATTTCACAAACTGACTGAGAAACGTAAAGATGGATGCCATCTGTTGGCGGCAAAAAAACTTCCGGAGTTTCACTGTAATCTGCCGCAAACCGCATGTGGCTAGCTCAATTTTATTTGAGCGCCACAATTTTTCAAAACCCCGAAGGGACTTTGTGGACACACTGTACTTCATTGCAGAAGTCATTCTTAAGAAGATCAACTCACGACATTTATGGAACCAGAAGATTCATTACCACAACTCGAAAGTTCCTGCACACTAATCAACTGCACTCCAGCACATCCTATTTCTTTAGCAGACAACTTAACATCAGCCTCAATTGTCTGAAATGGTATCTTCTCTTCAGGTTCCATGCATCTCTCCCATGCCAACTATAGTGTCTTATGTATTCAGTTTGTGTACGCCAAAAGACAACTGTGAGTAACAGATGTCAATGAAATAACAGAAGATATCAAAATAGGCGGTGAAAACATTTTCAAGAAAAAGAGCATGAAATGTAATCTTGACGCTGCTGTAAACCGAAGACAGAAGCCAGATTATAATTATCGAAGTTCATAACGCATATCTCGGGTACATGCAAAATTCATAAAACAACATTTAGGTTAACAAAAGTACAATTCAGTTCGTAATGTGTCAGCCTTTGCATTCGGTTGAGCCGTCCTTAGTACATACCAAGTTGATTAACTCTTTGTGCGTGTGTATATGTACTGTACAACTATTTTATCGAAGTCTTTAAGTAGTATAAGTCATTCAACGGTGCACATTTATAATAAGGTTCCCTTATCTCATTCCAAACCAAAATTTCATCGTCATGAAATTTAAGACGTGTTGTCATTGTAAAAACAATTTGCAAGAAATTCTCATTCGGCAAACTTAAGTTCATTCAGCATCTTACCTTCTTTAGAAGGGCCTTCGAAGGGTCTACGGCGACGGCGTTGCTCCACGGCCTGCAAGAGACAATAATAACATGTTATGAATTGAAGTAGCCAACTGCTTAGCCGTCTACTGGGACAAAGCGAGATGACAAAATAATCACGACTCTAACACAGTAATGGCAGCGGATTTGGGTACAGCGGTTTCAGCTATTAGTACTAACAGACTCTCATATTTGTGCTTCGTTATATCTTGGTAAGCACCTCAAACTGCAGTTTACAAAAAGTTAAGTCGTTGTAGTCTTTGTCATCATCCTCTTAAGTACTAGGCCCTTTACGGTTGAATGCTAAAGGCGGAGTTCTGCGCAAGCGCAATACATCGTCCCTTGCTAGATTAGACCATTCCTGCATAAGAAACACATAGCTGGAAATGGTTAACTGCCTTATAAACTATAACTGAGGATGTACTTACGCTAATAGGGTTATTTCGGCCGTGGCATGTTCAAACTAGAGGCTATTTCTACTGGTGGTAGATGATTCCATCAGGAAAACCGTCCTTCATGAAAATAAACTTTGCTTGGAACGATGTATGGAAGATTAGCCTTGAAGTGTTGGAATCGCTTTGGCTGATGGCCTCTGCGTCTTGGGTGTGAAACGGCTTTGGCTGACAGCCTTCATGATTGAGGAAGACGGTAAGTGTCCGTTTTATGTTGTACTCTGGCATCTGCCTTACAACTGAGAGGGAGTACGGAAAACCTTTTTCATTGTAGCCGAGGTGCTGGCCGTCCCTGAGCCGAAACTCACAGCCAGTTCTCTGATGTGGTCGGCGAAGAACAGAATCCCCAAATCCAAGTGAATTTGCCTCTTACCAAGGTACCAAAAAGCGTTAACCGCAATGGCAATCCTCCAATCCCGTACCCTGATACATGACGTAAACTGATGCGCTACGGAACGTGGCCTTCAACTGAATATCATTGAACGGCCTAATTGGGCGTAAAGGGAGGATAGGGCGAGGGCAATGGAACCAACAGGAAAGAGGCGGCATATCATAGCGAAAAGACATGCAAAGGAGAGAGGTTTTGGGAAGCGGCCCTTATAAGGATATTCGGGCTCCAACCGGTGGATCACCGGACAGTACGGAAGAAAGTGCGGGAGAATGAAAAGAGGTTTCAGGGAGGGGGGGACATACCGGGGACAAAACTGACCATATAACATGGGAGATCGGACACGGGAAACAATGCTGTATCGGGTGTTTCCTCCGTCCTTCCAGACAGTGGATGAGAGGCTTCCATGACTGGCTCCGGCGAAGACCGCGATTTTTCGCTTAATTACCACTCTCATGAGAGAGGCAGTACGGACCTCCAAAACATCTACCAAATTACGCGGTGCTACAACCTTGAACAGTGATCTTCGTACTGTCCGCCGAAGAATCTCAAATCTTACAGTTTTTTGTTGTAGTCGCGTAATTCAACTGTGCAGCTGATTGCTGGCCACAAGGAAACTGACGTCCGACAAAATTTTGAAGGATGTATCCTCATGTCGAGGTCTGCACCCATTTTTAAATGTATTTTTGTCACACCACCACTCCCAGTCCTGAATTTATGACGCCTGTACAAAATGTAAGGTATTGGAATCTGCAATTCTTCAATTGTTGTCACCAAAATAAGTCTATGTGTGTCGTAAAACACGTTGTTGCACTAGGAATGCACACATCAATAAAAAACGGCGACTGAAAATTATTTTGTTCCATTAAAACAGTTTAGCGTCACCAAAATCGAAATGAAGCAGTGTAGTAGCATAGGCATTGTAAAATGAGTTCGTTCGCTATTGGACATTAATCCCTCATTGAACCCAGTGCCCAGCGAAACAGTCTTTAAATGTTGCAACAGTATCTGTTCTTTGTCCATCTTCCTGAATAAGCGTACCGCGTTACTTAAAGTTTTTACATCTTACAATTCTCATCCTTTAAAAAAATTGCTCAATTTTGTCCAACAAAATGCAATAATAAACTAAACAATAAGAGAGCAATTTAACACAACAATGAATTTCTTTTGCCTGTATTAAATTTTGGGCGCTGAACAAAGATCCACCTGTAAGCACAATGCTTTTCAGAAACCACTGTTATTTGTGCAAGAACCGAGAATAATTACACAATTAAATAGCAATACTCGTTGTATAGTTTTGTAGACAACGCATCCATGAAGAGAACTTCCGCTTTTGGGTCGGGCCCTCCATTTCTTCGGCATGAGATCGCTTTCCAAAAAGAACTCACTGTCGAAGATACAACAGATTTTTCTAGTTATCATATGGACAGAAACATAGGGATGGAATTTAGTTACGCATTATCGAAAAAAGGCGTGGCTTCACATTAAGTTCAAGTTTTTTACAACTCTCGTTTTTTAATTCATCATTTTGATTTTCGGTCTGGGTAGAATGAAGGTAAAACTGCCAGGACAAATGTACTGAGTACGCGTGTGGGATGAATAAAGAGGGAGAAAGAAATTGCATTTCGAGATTTACGGCTAACTTGAAATGTGCGTGAGAGGAATGGCCAGTCGACTTGAAACTTGCACTCCTCTTCTTACTGTGCAGACTCTGAATTGCTGCTAGGTTTATCACGCAGTTTCTGCTCTTTACGCGTAATTCGGTTGTAATATGTCACGAAAGAATGAGACAGAGTGGAGTGGCGTGCTTTAAATACATCAAATGCACAACGAATCACTCAGCACCCTCATATCATAGATCAGCGCCTAGCTAAATAACCAACTTTCGCTGGTCCTACGATTGGGTATCGCGAAGGACCTGACTGAAGTGAAACGCGTTGAAGATATACTTACAGAAATAATCAGAATGTGCATGAAAATTCTGTCAGACTGCCTGTTGTGGTCTCTGGTTTTAATATACCTACAACTGAAGACTAAATTTGGGAAATGCTTGAGTTCTATCACTGCCTCTAGACCAAGAAATAATTGTCCGAATTGTAACCATCCACGCACATTATAGCCAAGGTTATGTGGGAATGGAAGGCTCCACGCTGGCGGGGAAGTCAATTAATATGGTATATACAGTCCCAGTCCTGTCATCCCACTGCATAAACCAATCTCTAACGAGCGAAATAAAAATCTCTATTCTGGAGCACAGACGCAAAATGAATTGACATGGAAAATAACAAGACAGTTGCAAATTTGTGATGTCCTTCAGCTAGCATTCATTGATTACTGGTGCCAGTCTTCTTGGCTCGACTTAGAAATTCTTCCACAAATATCCAACTTTTATTACCACAGTTTGACTTGTCGGAAGGCAAGAGATGACCAGCCATTCGATTTGATACAGACAAAAGTTCTCTCTCTCTCATAAACACGACAATGAAAGTTTTGGTTCTATAAACGGCGGAAAATTTCTCGACTATTTTACCGACTGTCCAGGAGAACTGAGCTCCATACAATGTTTTGCTTCCTTGTAATAAACCTGTTTGTTTACAATATTTCTTAACCCTATGCGAAATATAAGAAACCGTAAGTCGTAACCATCGACCCATCTGGCTCTCCCTCAACTGCTTACGGAAAATTTCTTCGGGCACCGGAAGACGGCCTCAGGAAACTTCGTGTCAGCGCGATCCCTACTCTACTTGATTCACCAGAGCCAGGTAACGCAAACAACAGAGGACGTTTATCTTTCAGTTTACCCTTCTCCCCTCTGGGAAATAAGAATATGAGTATATTTGTGTTTGGTGACCTTACCACACCCTCCACCAACATCCGGCTTTGTAAAAGAAATCAAGATAAAGGGAAGGTTTTCTTGTAGTGCTATACCGTTTTGAAATATATATCACGTCCTCCGTCATATACAGCTCCCTGTGGTTCTATTACAGAGCTAAGCTGGCTCTCACAGAGATCGCACTGAACGCCACATTTTGACGTCGCGTTGGTGGGTCATCCCACAAGAATTTCACTTTCTCATTCGACAATAATTAGACTCAACCGATATACGAAGCCTGTGGTAGGGAGAGTTTTCGTAACGTATTGTAATCACATAATAAATTGTGACCTCTACTGTCATTTCCATTCATTCTATCTCCGGGATGATTTAAAGACGATTTAAATTCCTAAAATTACTTGTGGTATCTTGGAAAGACAGCATAATCATTAAACTATATATTGAAGAGCGTGTGTAAATGTGCCGCCTAAACGAAGGGAGAGTTACATGCCGGAATTTACCTGAAGTGGCTGATGGAACCGGAAAAATTAGTCAGGCTAAATAGACTCCCATCTCGATTTTAAACCGGGACCTAGCGAATACAATACTGTCGTTTGGTCGCATTCACAGGGAAGTGATTTAATTAGCATCAGTGCATATCAGCCTATTTGCTGAGAATATGCCTCGTGTTTGTATCTGTGATAGGCAACAACTGTTGTCCTGGATAAGAAGACAATTCCTTTTGTATAAGATATAAACATACTCATCGCCCTGATGATGGACGCAGCAAGGACCTATGAAACTTTTGTAAACTTCTACATCACTACACGGCGTCAACATCCCAGAAGACAGCCAACCTGCTCTCATACACTCTACGTCTGTCTTCTTCCTTTAACGAGAAAGACGAACTTCATGCCCAGACAAAGCATGCGCAATTATAGTTTTCTCCCTGTAACCCACATTTCAATCTTTGCGTTTTCGAAACCGTAGGAGAGACAAAAGTTTCTGAATGTCATAATACTAAGCATTCTGAAATTTCAGTCTGCTCTTAATTTCTTCGCGAATTCTGATGTTTAATATAAAATATTTTATTTAGTAGCTATCATCATTCAAAGATCCTATCCTTAGTCTGGTGACAATACATTAGTTTCGGTAATTCTAATACAGCAGTTTTTTAAAATTCTTGTTTATAATCAAATATTTATACCCTCTAAACGCGTTATTTAATTTCACAAAGAAATCACCAATCTGAAATGGTTAACAATGAGAAAATAAAGCAGCCACCTTTTCAATACAACACGACCCATTACCTTATATGCTCTTTAATTGCTGTGGGGAAGCCACTGTTTCCAGGCAACTAGTTTGACGTCAGTCCTTCA